CTTAACTATTACCTGCACTTTACAAGCGTGTAACCCAGTGCAACACAATCAATATCTTCCTGGAGAGATTGCCTGAAAATGTGCGCTGTTTATGCAGTTAGTGTATGAAAATACAAAAGAGTATAATCATACCAGAGATAATGCTGCCTCTTCTTTCAGTTTGTCAGTAAATGCAACAGCGAACCTGATTGGGAACAAAGACCCCTTCATTATCAACGCTGTAAAAGGCATTTCAGCACAGCAAGAACTTTTATTATAGGCAGTAAATCTTAGCCTTTTACAGGCAATGACAATTTTGACAACAATACAGGAAAAAGAAGTGGTAACAACAGTAAAACATAATAGTCTCCAGGCAGAGACTGAATACATGAGAGCAGAAAAACTGATTGTGGCTTGAAGGCAAAGAATTTCGGAACGAATATACCGAGAATAAGATGAAGGAAATGAAGGGAATGTGGAGCAAAAAACAGTGGGGAGATATTAATTTGCGTATGTGAGCGTGCATTATTAAATGGGCCGCCAGGCTCTGGGTGGTGACTGAATTTCATGATCAAGGTTTGTGTGTGAAGGCACTAACGGTGGGAGGTGGGTGGATTGAGATGTTTGATGTCACGAGAGCTGGATCTCCCCAGTTCTCCCAGCAGGCAATTATCCCCTTAGACTTACTAGATGGATGCCCTACCATCTATTTTCATCATAATGAAAACAGACACTGCAGTCTGGTGCCAGGGCAAAGGACAAGACATTGTTAAACCTACACTATTAAAGTTGGATAGGACAAAAACACACAACCTGCACCGACGGGGTAAGATTGTATGTGCTCAGCCTTGTGCTTTAATGGCAGTACGCCAGGCACTGGAAGATGTTGTAGAGATCCAGACCTTTTATTCCAACACAACTAGTTGGGTTTTCTCCTGTGTAATACAGCTTAAATGTCAAATGATTTAAATATGTATCTCCTCTAAAAAAAAAAAAAAAATGCATTAATTCTAAGTTCATAAGTAGAGTAGCGACTATATTGAAAATACAGGCCCCAGAGTAGAAAACTGTGATCATCAATTGAGTCCACCATCTAATCAATCTAATATCATAAAAGTGGTTATAAAATGGTCTGGAAACCTTTCTCAATTTTGGACCTATGGGCTGTGACGACCTGTATGTCCACATCATGGCTCTACATAAAAAAGAGTTGCTAGAGGAATTGTAAGATCTGACTGTGTGACTTCACAAAGATGGATAATGCAGGAAGATCGTCAATCAACCAAAAATCTGTGAATACACAGATGCAGCAGTAATCAGTAGGTATAAAGCCAGCCATAGTTCCTCTCATCAGCTTGCAGTGGTCGCCCTCCTGTAATGATGCCACGGACAGCGCAGTACTTGCACAATCTAGCTCTGAAAAGCAGGACAAGTGCTTCAGACTTGGCAGAAGGGTTATCAATGGACATCAGAGTTTTTGTGACAGCCCAAACAGTAGGAGGGACATTACATAACGTCTCCCTCGATGGACAGCATCCAAAAAAAAAAAAAGTCCTTGCTTGCTGTTTGGCACAAACCTGCAAGATTAAACTTTGCTAAAAAAACATGAAAAGAAGCCTGATGAATATTAGGAGCACATTCTTTGCTCAGATGAGACCAAAATAGGTTTGTTTGGCTCACATGAGGTCCAGCATGTTTGGCATGAATATGGCCACATGAATGCCTAATCCCGACAGTGAAGTACAGATGTGGGAGTGGGATAATAGCTGAAAAGGTGTTGGGGAGGTAACATTTATAGATGGCACCGTGTCTCCAGTTATACGAAAATACTGACTTTCAAAATGACTCCCAGCACACAGAAGCTTGACAGAAGAGGAAAATTCCAGCATGATAATGATCCAGAACACACTGCCAAACTGTGATCTGGCCAAGTATGTTGCCTGACCTGAATCTAATAGAACCTTAGCCGTATTTTAAAGAGGAAGGTGTGGCAAAACAAGCCCTCCAGCAAAGTGCAGCTGAAGAAAAAAAAATAACTGTCAAAAAATGAAAGAACATCTCTCCAGAAATGTGTGCAACACAAGTATCCTCCAGGAGAATTGAGTCTGTCAACAAAAACAAAGGTGGACGAAAAAGTACTGAAAAAAATGAAAACGATCTGAATCTCAATAATGAAACGTGCACTGACTTCTGTTGCACCAAGCTCCCACTGTGAGGCCTGCAAATTGAATATAGTTAGTCTAAATGGTCAGGTATTGATTTTATGTAAGAGCAGATTCCCTACAGGTTAACTTAGAGGTAAAGCGGTTACTATATGATCAAACAAATCTGCATCATTTGACATTTAGGTGATATCGGTGTATACTCTAACTGACAGCCTAATCCATATTACTCAAATTGTTTATAATAATTCAGGTAACGAGGTGATTTTTCTTTGTTTTGAGCTGGCAAAGCTAATCAAGAGGTGTTAGTATGCCCAAGACTGAAAAATCACACGATTAATGAAATCAGAGGTTGTCTTCATAAAGTCAGTTTCAATTACGACATATAAATGGTCACAGTTACTTCCTGTCTTCACTTCAGGGCGTCGACATCTGTGTGAAACCTCTATAAAAGGAAGTTAGCAAAACATGTTACGATACATTTCTAACATATGCGTGACTAGTAATTGATCAAATGTCAGTAAGTAATACATTAAGATCAATGTGCTGTAAAATTTACATCACATTAACAACACACAATTCCTTCAAACTGGCCTTTCTCATAGGAGACGTGTTACTTTGTCACAGCAGGACAAGCTCAAGTATAACTAATACAATAATGACTGTTTTCTTCCATTTTAATGTGACATGAAAGCCACACCAGTGAATGAGCACGAACACTAACAGGACACTTGAACTGGCGCTCCTAAATGGAATGCATCCATAATTCATGTCATGAGTTGCATCAATGCACCTTTTTCTATTGAGATGTTAAATAAAGTGTTCTGTCAAATCCACCATCTACACATTTTACTCTCATATGGTATCTCTAACTATTTAATAGAGATATGAACCCACTGATGGGGTAGTTTAACATATTTTTCATTATGCACATTCTTCGTTATGCAAATTGTGACAGCAGCTATTTTTATTATTATTTTCCAAACATGTTCACACAGTTTGTATTAGAGATTGACCGATATGTCTATTTTCCAGTGCTGATGTAAGGAACAATTATCATTAACTAAGGAAACTGATAACTAACATTTAGAACTGATTTGCAGTAAAATGAAAATCTTGGTGTCAAAATTTAGGATAACTCAAACTCCAGCATAAAACCTTTATTCATTTATGTTTTACATGTGTTTGATTAAAACAGAGTGTTTGAACTTGCATTGTTTACTGTTGATGAGCTACGACTCATGAAATGTAACCAATCAGAGTGACGACAACAGAAACAGAGATGCCACTGCGTTAGAGCCAATATATCTCATTTTTAAACTGATGCATTTAATCAGAAATCAGTTTTGTTTTTTAAAAACATACCCATAATTAGTAAAAAGCTGGATATCAGATCCAATTATCAGTCGATCCCTACTTTGTGTGATGTGTTTACTTAATGAGTGGAATGTGCTTATTTTGGAGCTACTTGAAAGTGGTTTAAAAAAGTAGTTTCCAGCAACATCACCTGGCTTTCAGTAGCACCTGCTCCATAACCGCACGCTTCTGTTCAACTTTCACATCTTCATTTATGTCTGTTCCGCCAAAGATAACGCCAAAGGGTACTTGGATGTCTATTGTAAAGAGCAGACATATAACAGAAATGTGGTGACATTTGTTAGCTGTATATTTGGTAGGTCTACTTCTATCCTGACAAATGACTTGAAGTATGAATAAATAGAATAGAATAGAAAAGGAGAAGATCATATAACAACAAGCATGTTTACCCAGGAGAAGTCTGCCTGCTCTGAACAGATGGATGGCCAGTGCACCCTCAAAGGGAGGATTTTGAGACACTAGATTTGCCACATCAGCAGGGGACTGAAATTCTCCTGCATCTCTGAGCTCACAGGTGTGTCCTGCTGATTCAATGTGGGACCTGAAATAAAACACACATTTGACTATGGATGACTGATAGGAAGACAGAGTGCTTTCAGGGACTACACCCACTGCACAGTAGGTCAGGTAGCTGAATCATTGTGCTACAGCTGGTTTATTACAGCCAATTGTGCAGTAAAGTGGACAGTTTCCCAACAACTCCTTTACTTTTAGAATTGCGATGGTTAACAGTTAACTTTGTTGCTATTGACAAACGCAGTCTCACAGGCTAAAAATTAACTGCTACTGTAGTCGGAAACAGCGATGCGAATTACCTTATTCTCTCAGCTGTAGTACGGTTCCCAGTTTTAGGGCTTAGACAGGCAAGAAAGAGCAATTTCATATCTCCACTAAAGGCTGATTAGTCCAGTTAACTAGCTATTTCTCCGAATAGTGTTGGGGAAACCCGTGATAATGTCGCAAACCGCACCTCTGTGCGTGTAAGGCTTGCTAAACCGAAGTCCTCTCACATTTCCTGAACTCATGCCCGTAACTTATACGTGGTGCACCGCTAGCAACAAGCAGCAGCAGGCTTAGCTCAACTTGGCAGTACACCACGTTTCAAATGTTTACTAGTCCGTCTGCTATACGACCCCCTGGAAACACACGACTGCAGCGGCGGGGTACTGCTGCTGGCACACATTTCTCTCCCGCTTGTTTTTTTTTGTTTCGAAACCATCATTTAAGACCGAGTTAAAACCACAGTCGTGCCTCTTGACAACAGTTAACAACACTGGAATTAGCGGTAACAAAAAAATAAAAAGAAACTGCTCTGCTACTTCCTTTTCTCGGTGGTAGACCCGCTGCGTCACCGGCACAAACCTGTAAACCATGTGGATGGACGCTGGTTGAAGCTTTAAGTCGACACTGCGCCTGCGTGTCATTTATAGATCGTCTCCGCAGCAACGCAACTGTGGCAGCTCTCAGACTGGACCGTGTGTCACGCGATAGGACTGTGACACTGTTTTTTTTCTGTTGACTTCCAGTTCTCTTTTGACAAAGTGGTGATTTAAGACGAGACAAACCAAGCATTTGAGCGGTTAATGATATCTAGGTTAATGGAGAAAACTGAACACCACTGGGACGTGTGTCAATAACAAACGGTAATGTAAAACCAAACTCTTACCAAGCTATCGTTGTGCTAAAGCTAGCTTACTTAAGGTTTGTACTCGGCTTGTATTACATGTGATAAGGAAGGGGACTCTACATAGTCAACATAGTTCTTTACAGATGGCTATTTTCTCTGTTTAAACACTGTTGGCAACGTTTGGTTTACCTGTTTACTCTCATCTCTATCTCATCTCCAGGGTTGAACTCTTACCTACTCAAGAAGACACCCACTTCCATTAAGTTGCTTGAGAATGGCTAACAGCAGGGATGACACTGAGAGCACCCCTCTTTTGGACTCAGGCTCTGGGAGCAGACCTTCACCTCCATCAGTCTTCGAAGGAAGAAGACTAGCATGTGCAGCCATCCTGCTGGCTGAATCGTTAGAAAGGATTGCGTTCTATGGCATCACATCCAATCTGGTTCTTTTTCTCAACAGTAGTCCTTTTTATTGGGAGGGTACTCAGGCGAGTCAGGCCCCTCTGATGTTCATGGGAGTTACTTACCTAATTTCGCCGTTCGGTGGATGGTTGGCAGATGCTTACCTTGGAAAGTTCTGGACCATTGCCTCAAGTTTGATCCTATATTTTATTGGCATGTTATTTTTCCCTTTCATTTCAAATGCCCACGCCAGTATAAACCTCTGTGGAGAAGAGGCGGCGTTTCCTGTGCAACCTGCTGAGTGCCTGAGCACAAACAGTACCCCTCCCAAAAATGTAACCTGCCCCATTCGCAGCCCATATTGTGCTCCAGTAATCTACAGTGGACTTTTTTTAATTGCGTTAGGTGTGGGTACTGTTAAATCCAACATCACTCCATTCGGGGCGGATCAGGTAGAGTATAACCAATATTACTTTCAGACCTCGAAGTCTGCATTGAAAAAGAAGACATTGAGTTCATTGTTAACTAGAAGGTCTTGAACTGAAAGATTTTCTGGCAAGTATCATATTGGCCTGTATAAAATTGGGTATGCAGTGTGACACCATGGAGGCCAGGCATGTGATGGGACTTCTGTTGAACCATGACAGTTCCCTGGGACATGCATGCTCTCGATCATCATGGTCACTTAAGACATTTTGGCACGTCAAAGTAGAATCAGTGACATGCTCTTAATCTTTTGTCCTCTTCACATGAATAGGCATACAGACACCATCGAACAATGCTTACAATTATGGTTTAGTGGTAACAAAATGAAACACACATTTCTCACATTGGCGCAAAACAGTGTCAGATTATTATTAGGACCCTCTACAAGGAGGAGTCTCAAACATGGGAAAGTTCATCAATGGGATCATTGTTTCTCAGAATAACTTAACTAGAAGCGGATCAAACTTTCAAAGGGAACTGGTGTGGTGAATATGATTAGTACTTGTGCCCATCATGCTAATTACGCAATTGTGTCATTCCTGGCAATGCCTCTTTTGATCTTGTTCTAACATGCAACATGCACTGGAGCAAAACAAAATGGACAAACAAAAATATATGGAATGCATCAGGTAGGGTTTTGCTAGTGACACTTAGAGTTAAGACAAATCATTTTAAAAACACTGAGAAAACTTGTCAAAAATGTAACAGCACTTTTTTTGACTGGATATGAAATTTAGGAATGTACCATATAAAGGCAGAATTGTCCCCTTAATGATCCTCCAACTGAAAGTTCTGAGTTTGCGGGCGCTGTGAAAACATGAGTGAAACTTAACATTTCCTGTTACATGCAGCCTGATTTCTGTCTCAGGAATAATGTCACCCTCTTACAGTGTAAAATCTGCCGTAATGTTTGTTGTGAATGTGTAACTTGAGCATCATAAGCATAAAGTTGCAGTTTTACGGGAGCCCTACACCAGACCAGAGTAGATGCATCTGTGTAGGCAGCTGGTGGCGGATAGATGTTAAAGATGGGACATGAAGGCAAAGCAGTATTCAGAAGTGAGAAAACAGTATTGCAGCTGCAGCCTCTTTGTCCTTTTGTGAGTCACTTCAGATGTTGTGTCTGTCAGCCTATAATCAATGTATTATATATATGAATCATATTTTGTATTTGTTGGAGGGTCAATATCATACTTAAACATGATAAAATATCACATTCTTGACTCATTCTGGCATAACGAAAGACCAGATCGAGCTTGTGTCAAAACTAAATGGAGAACCTACTATAGCAATTGCGCATTGTGTGTATTATTTTAAAACGTGATAATGAAGTTGTTAGTATCATCGCAATGAAGTGATTCATTTTGTAACTGACACTGCACAAGTGCAGAGAGGAACCTCAGAAAGATTTATGCTGAGTGTTTTGACGTTATCTCTCCAGTGGTTAATTGTAGCTGTACGGGAGCATCTTTTGTGCTCATATATAGAAGACATGCCCACTTTATCATGCGATGATAAAATCTTTTCCTTCATATTATACCTACATGTGAAATGGATCAGTGCCATTATGAGAGTAATGTTTGCTTGCATAGCTATTTAACTAAATTTATAGCCATTGTGCTAACCTGATGTTGTAAGTTATCATTGCAGGTTCTGTTAAAATGCTCAAAGATAAGTAAAAACTAAATCCTGCTCTCTGTGTCCTGCACCTTTTACATAATTCTAAAGCTTGTGCCAGCTTATTACGACTATAAATATCCTGTGCAATGATAGTGCTGCGATAAAATCAATAATAGTAACATTATTATCCCAATTAAACCAGTAATTATAGATATGTTACGTGTTGAAATAAGTGTGATGCTATATCCTTGTCAGTTTCAGCTTGGGATCCTTGTTCCTCTTTGTCGGTTTTGTGTCATGTGCTGTTGCTTGGTTTTTTGTGGGGGGGTTTGTTAGTTTTTTTTCCCCCAAGGCAATTGATGTACTATATTTCCAAGCCAAGTGATGTATTGTCTTTTGTAGCCTTATTGACTTGACCTATGTCAACCACAATTTAAACACGTATGTTTTTGTTTTCTGGCTTTAAAAGCTTGCACATCAAACCACACTTCTTTTATAGCTGACAAACATTGCTAGTTGACCTACAGACTAGAACTCAGCTGATAAAGGATTTCTGGGGCCCATGCCAACTCTTTGTGATGATACTATTTCTAAATTACCCCACACATCTTCGTTTCCATTTTATTTACTGAAAATAAAAAGTTTTCATGTTGGTACACATCAGGCTAGTGCTGGCTGATAATATTGGCAAACTGATACATCAGCTGGACTCTAGTACAGACTGGGATGACAAACCACAGTCGCAAAGTTCAGAGAATAAGTTATTTTCTATGACACTATTTATTTTTTTATTTTTTATTTTTTAAATTCTATTTTCGTGCAAACAACTGCCTGTGTGACATGACCGGTTGCTGTCATCCTGAATGTGATCACAGGTCAAAGACAGAGGGCCAGAGGCCACGCGCAGATTCTTCAACTGGTTCTACTGGTGCATCAATTTAGGAGCCATCCTGTCTCTGGGAGGTGTGGCGTACATCCAGCAAAACAACAGCTTTGAGATCGGCTACATCATTCCCACAGTGTGCCTTGGGGTCTCCTTCCTGGTTTTTCTCCTGGGACGGACTGTTTTCATCACGAAGCCTGCTGATGGCAGCGCCTTCACAGACATGTTCAAGATCTTCACTTTCGCCTGCTGCTCACAGAAACCAAAGGAACCTAACCTGCTCCGGTGAGAGAAGCATGTCACCTCTGTGTGTCAGTCATTTTAGAGCATTTTATGTAGTGCTGAGAAAAAGATAATGTGAAATAGCATTGTCAGGCAATAAAAGTGGAAAAAAATATCCTCAATGACAAACAGCAGACTCACATTAACTGCAGTCCAGTAAAGCATTAATCACTCTCAATGGGAAAGCTCCTTCCTGCAGTGTAGTGAGTATTTTTGTCCGTGGCAGAGTTTAGTGGGATGGTGACTGTGATCCAGCGGAATAACACGGCTAGGTGTTGTTGGTAGACCTTTATCTTAAAGCCCACTTTGATCCCCCTGTATAATTCTTTTTTTTTCCACTGGTCCGGGCATTCATCTTCATTCCCTGTGGTGAAAAGTTACTCTGAAGTGCTGATACTCGACTTTGAACCAAAGTAGCACAATCGGCTCAAAAACTTGACATTGAATATTTTAAGTTGGACAATCCCGCAGCCTTTCAAGAATTCCTTATTAAGGCATTTTCTCCAGAGATGGGGATTATAGGCTTTAGAATAAAGTTTCTTTCCTATCTCTAGAAGTGCTGTTATTTAAGGGTAAGATGTTCACAAAAAAGCTGATTAAGTCTTCCACTTCAAGAGTTAAGACTAAATCTGGTTTATATTTATTTATTTTTTTCATTTTAATGTTATTAACTACACTGTAGTTTTAAAGTATTTCAAGCTTTCTTTTTTCTTTTTTTTTTGTTTCCATGAAGCAACAAACCAACACTACTAGACAGCGCCAAAGTGACCTATGGAGGAAAATTTCAAGAGGAGAAAGTGGAGGAAGTGAAATCACTGGTGAAAATCCTTCCAGTTTTCTTTGCCCTTATTCCATACTGGACTGTGTACTTCCAGGTAAGATCAACCTATGCTAAGTTAAATAAACATTTAAGTTATGTTTACCTAGATGAAAAATAAGAAGGAATTTATTAGGTGAATACAAGCTTTCTGCATGCAGCTATGCACACACGTCTTATTATGAAGAAAGATTATTTTCCGTTTCAAAATTAGAGAAGAATAGCTTTCCACCAGACGCCCCCGTGATCATAAAGTGGAGAATTACTTCATGCTGAGACTCTAATCTCCTTACTGTGTTGCAGATGCAGACAACGTACATCCTGCAGAGCCTCCATCTGAGGATCCCTGATACCGCCTCCAACCTCACTGACGACCCCAATAAGGTGACCTAAAGTGAAAACGCTCAGCCCAAATGCCTGTTTGGTGTTTACTTTAAAACATAGTGTCAATGTGGTATGACATCGTGATGTGAGACGGTGACTGTACTACATCATTACAATGTAATGATGTAGTACAGTTGCTGTCTCACATCACATATGAGTGTGGAGCTCTAACCTGCTTCTGCATAAGTAGTTTGCAACTGGATTTTTTGCTGCTGAAACTAAAGGAGTCAGTAGGTCAGTGACACACAATGCTAGGCAACAGCTGGAGGCAGCAGCAAAGGCTGGTAATGCCTTGGGGATTAAGTCAGAACTTCACAGACTAATACCTCGCAGATTAGCAACCTGCCTGCGATTGTATCTCTCCACAGCAGCGCCTCCACCCGTTTCTTGACGGTGAGTGTTGCTGGAGTGCTTGTGTCTCACTCTCACAGATTGTATGTTGAGCTCTGGAAGTCTTTGATGACTGAAACTCCCTCAGCTACTACTTAGGAATCAAAGATTGAAAAGCGATGAAAATGAATAGACCAGGGAGTCCAGTGCATATACTCTATCGTGCCTTTTTTTTTTTTTTTTTTTTTTGAACAGGCACGCTTGAGGTCATGGTGAAGTGTGTCAGGGAAATGTGAAGTGAAACACTTGCCTACAAACCACACAGACAGACTTAATGGTGTATAGATGTCAGGTCATGTAACTGTGAAAAATTCCTATATTTCACAGTTATATGCACCGAGATGTGACACTGCGAAACTGTCTCTCATGCTTTTGTTTACTCATATTCCATTGTTCGTAACTGTGTTTAGAGCTATATTTGCAGTTTATTTTTTATTTTTTCACATACTATTTATCTGGTATCAAAAACGGAACTAAGCCTTTTCTGCTACCAGCCTTGACACATCTCAGCATCAAAAGGGAAGTGAGATTAGATGCCTCTGTGATTTGCTCCCTCACCTCACCTGACACATTTCAATGGCTAACCTGAACAAATGCTGTCTCTTCAAGGAAACACAACCCATACTAATAATAATAACTTGGAACAAGAGCTAGGAGTAAATGCGATGCAGTTGTTTACAATGAGTTTGCGTCCATGAATTCACAACACGTTTGACTATTTGCATTAGTGTAGCTTTGAATTACATTTTGTAAGGAATATGCACTTTTATTTGAAAACGAGTTCTAAAATGAAACTACCTTCTAATGGTGGCCAGAGCTACATCCAGATCAGTAGATCCCAACCTTTATGGCGTGTGACACTTTCAAATCTAAGTCAACTCATAGCCCCTTTTCAGTGATTACACATTACTGTAAGCTGAGGACATTTCATGCAGAATATGATATATGAAGATATTTTTAGATGCCTGAACAGGTAGCGCTATGCAATATTTCACAAGATTGGAGAAGTATACACAAAATCCAAAGAGAGTAAAGATTGTGGAAAATACAAATATATTTTATTGAGCAGAAATATATAATTCAATTTTTTTTTTCTTATTTTCTAAATTGTTCAGCCTTTGATGACCTAGTAATGTTAAGTGTAAATACACGCTTTATATATTGTATGTACAGTATATATGTCGTTAATTTTGGGAAGTGAAAAAAAGACATTTAGGCCTTCTGGGGCACCCCCGTTTTTCATGGCAGGGTTTGCTCGGCAAAGAAGCCTCACTTAGCACTTCCTATCATTTTGAATATGATAATGTGCAAACAAGAGAGGAAAACACTCTCTAAGGAGCTGCGTATAGATTGCCAGCGGTTGCTCCAAGAAATGAAAATTGAATTTGAGAATAAATGATGCTATCAGAAGTGTTAAACCAGAGACACATCAGGAGCTCAGATGGCACTTGGAATTTGAATTGCAAAAAAACAGCTCTGACAGTTTGTGCTCTTTCATTGCTTACTCAATGAGATATTGCCTGAACTTATAGATACTTTGTATGCTTACAATGGATTCCCTGTGATTGATAAGTCATCCGCACTGTTTGCACAGTGTAATTATTCCTTTCAGAGATTACACTTTATGGTAATAGATTTAGATTTGAGCTGAAAAACTTATTTTGAATGAACAGTTTGTCTCTCATGCCAATTTTAATAGATACGCAAGGACAAAAACAAGAATGCTATCAATACTCTTGCAGCTGCTGCTACTGTGAATAATAATCCTGCTATTTATTCACTAATAATACATTTATTTGGCTGTGCGCCTTCTTTACTGTGAGGTGAGTTATTCTTTTTCCATTACATTATGTTTGGTTTTGACCACCTGGGGGTGCCAAAGCAGTATCAAGACTGAAGTATACACACTCACAAACACAAGCACACTCATGTGAACACAAACACTTGGTGAACTGTGTTGGAATGCTCTGACATCCTCTGTATTTTTCATGGTTTGTTGCTTTATGTACATTTTTATCTCGTCTTTCTCCTCTGAATCCCCCAGATGACATTCCGCTTTCCAGCTGCCTGGCTCACCATGTTTGACGCAGTGCTCATCCTCATGCTGATTCCCCTTAAGGACAAAGTAGTGGACCCCATCCTGAAACGCCGCGGCCTGCTGCCTTCCTCTCTGAAGAGGATTGCAGTGGGGATGTTCTTTGTCATGTGGTCAGCCGTGGCAGCGGGTGAGTGCACTAACAGACATGTTCCCTCTGTTTTGTCACTTAAGTAGGGCAGACAAACACCAAGGAAACCACAAAGTTACTATTTATTTTCTGCGGTAGATGCCACATGCACTCAGTACTTCTAAAGCAACGAGCAATGGAGCTGTAGTGCCTCTTCACCATAATTTATTAATTATAATTCTCAGCATTGTTTTTGAGGACTTTTGAAATGTGGGACTAATACATCATTGCTATACCAATGTGGAATAAATATTGTTATTGAGGCAACTTTTGATCTAATCTGAGTGTGATTTATAGGTATTTGGCTCATCCTTTTTTTAAACTAATATTTGCCTTTACTGGGTTGCTTTTTGTTAGACTTAGCAGATGGTCTGTAGCAGTGGTGTTTTTTTTGTTCCTGGATCAAAACGTCATTTTCCACCTGGCAAAGGGAACACCGCCCAGACTTTTTCTTTTTTCTTTGCCCTGGAGATCACAGGGGGAGCTGCGGCATGTAACCTTTTGGTGTGCGACTGCACCCACATGCAGCAGCGCTCCTCACTCACATTCACTTCCAGCGTGTCGATTATTTTGGAAATAAAGGCTCAGCTAGGCCAGTCGATGGGTTTTGCTGCACTGATACATCCAAGCTAAAATGTTTTGAAAGAGACACAAGCCTGGAGGCAGGAAGAAAGCAAATCAGTAACACTCCTGAGAATCGATGTACATGATATTTTCCACAGCCGCTGCTTCTTCTCATTTCACAGGTGCGCATTATATCTGCAACATAGAATATGAACATATCCTCTGTCATTAGTGACCTTTAGATATTGGCTGCTGCGCTTTTACTGATTGCCAATTGACTGTTTAACGTGCACTTAATCAAATTTGACAGCAGTTGTTAGGGATAATTGTGAGGGAATATTTTTTTTTCATACAAGTTAAAATAATAATAAATGAAGGGCTAACAAACACACAGTTCAACATTCAACAACTCAAAAGCAAGTTAACGTTTCACTCATGGCTGATTTATGCAGCTTTAAATACAGTCAGTGGTGAGTATGATTTATAGATTGAAAGTATGCTCCACAGATTGAAGTGAATAGTACCCATTTAAATACCTGTGTGATGTCTGTGTATGCTTTTATGGGTAAGAGAGAAAGAAAAGTGTTTTGGGCTAAACTCTCATCCTTGTGCCTTACTTTGTGTTGATGTAGTGAAGAAGGTATGACAAAGTTTGCAGATGGACAGACTTCAGATGTTGTAGTGTGAGAGTTATTAAAGCCTGCCTTACCCCATCAAAAGCATCCTTTTCAATCAGCGTGATGTGGTAAAAGGTCTATTAACCAAATCTAATGGGGTCTACTTTTCGGTTTAAAGTAATATTTCCTTTTCAGAGGACATGAGCTTTCCCACATGGAAAGGTAGTGTAACATGTTCATTTCAGTGTTCAAAAGCCATTCAGGTACTTACTTTTCCATTTGGCTTCTTGAAAGAAAGTGCCATCCTTGCATTTGAATTCAGGCAAAATAAATTCTGAATATTGTGGAAAGCAATTTTGAGTTTTAGGAGTGGAGAGAAAGGGTTTACGATGGTGCAGTGGTGTGAGCATTGGTCACAGAACAGTAGGTGAATGCACAAGTAGCGTGCAACACAGATCTGACCTGGATTTTAGGAGTCAAATCAGATGACAGGATCAAATCTGTACAGTAATATGCTTTGTAAAATGATTGAAATCTTGTATCCGCAGCATATTAAATAATTACTCATTCAAAAATAGTTTGCTGAGCCTGTGGGCTGTTTATCCTCAGCACAGCCTTGCTTCACATTCATTCAGTTCCACCCAGTGACTCCTGGGAGCTGCCTTACACTATTATTACATTTGGAACTGCGTCCTCAGTTGGCTTTTTTTTTGTGTCCTCAATGCTTATCTGTATTTGGTCCATGAGCAGAAATCGTGTTGTTTAGAGACTGACAGATGGATAGTCGTGAATGTCCAAGTGTGGCATCTTTTGCTCAGAGAATAGTCAGTTGAACACATTACATTGTCAGGCTGCCACTCTGTGTCCACAACATTGGGCACACTACTGCTGCTCAGCGTTAGAATCACTTTCATCACCTTGTGCATGAAATGTGCAGGAATTTGTCATGATTGGTGCAGCAATATTTCACAGGGTTTCATCGTACGCGCTGACACACATGGCATGAGGACAGCTGGACCTCCCGTGAAGTGCAAAAGGACAGCTGAAGACATGCTGTCAAGCAGACAGTGGACTGTCTCTGATCATTTGTGGACAGCATTCCAGAGCTTCAGCCACACACTGATGAGGCCAGCTCGGAAAAACTGTGCTGACTGTGAAGAGATTTTATTTTATTTTTTATTTTTTTGCCATGTTTTATCACATTCTCTCAAGTTTACATACTTATCTCATTTGGTTAAAGCTTAGTGGCTTTTAGGTGTCCAACAGCATCGCTGCCTTTTTGATTTTTTATTTTTTTTTAAGCTGGAACAGAAGTGCCAAGGATCACACAGTGTTGTCTGTTGTGTGACGTTTAGTTAGGGGGAAAAAGCAAGGGTGGGTGTTTATAGTGCGAGACTTGCTCTGGGCAGCCCAGTGGCCATGCTGCCCGAGATGGACGGCTGGTATTATAGGATATTCGGATTACAAGGCTACAACTCCACTCAAATATAGCATTAAGCGTAGTTATGATAGGAAGCTGTCTCTGGGAGTTATCTGGAAATAGCCGCTGGTTATATGATAATAGCTATCGAATAAAGCTTTAAGGAAGCGGCAGCAGTTGATGACAACTCCTTGGTTCTTATTATTGAACCGTCTGCACTGTCCCATTACTAACTGCCAGAATACAGAAGCGTGTAGATGTGATCTTAATGAAATGGTACAGTAGCCTTAAAGCTAGCTAAATCCTTTATGGACTGTCACTGAATCTTCTGCCTCTGACAGTGTTTGGCTGTTTGTTGGTGTCATGGACTTCAGAGTAACGAGTGTTTCTTCACCCTTCCCGAAATATACAAAGGTTTAGATTTACCTAATGTCTTAATTATGTGTGTTGCAGTATCATATCTATAAATACATGTGTGTGTTTTTTTTGTGACATTATTTCTTTCTACAACCCTCAGCTAACTGCTCTTCTGTTTTTGTGTCTCATCAGGTATTTTGGAGACCAAACGCCTGGAGATTGTCAAATCAAATGGTACTATTGACCAGGTGCTTGGCCACGTTATCTACTACGCGGCAGATTTACCCATATGGTGGCAAATACCTCAGTATGTGCTGATAGGAATCAGCGAAATCTTTGCCAGCATTGCAGGTACAGTTGTTTGACATCTGGGAAATTTTCTGCTAAGTGTTGAAATCTCTCATTTAACACCTTGATCAGGAGAACCTAATGATTCAGACTAACAGTAAAATGTAGCGTCCTTCAGCGATGAGCCTCGTGCTTTGAGTTTGTCTGATTCCCCTTCAAACTGAACCACTCTATGAGCTAAAACCCATAGTGCCTATTCTTGTAAGGAGAATGCAATGAAGACTAATGTGTAAATCCTTTTTGAACACTTTGTTTGATTCATTGCCAGGCTGCTCTAGCTTAATGTGTTTGTGGGTTGTAGTCCAGAGTAAATAGCCCAGGACATCAATTGATAATTGATTATCCTGATTTTCTCACACTGCTGCAAGACATTGTTTCGTAATGGGACATTTTATAAATAAGGTGTGGATAAAGAAACCTTTTTACAGTTGAAATGATGAAAGCCTTACATTTGCTCCAGCCAGTTACCAGCCTGACATTATTCTTTCTCTGCTTGCTGTCCAAACACATACAGCAGATAGCAAGATGGATAAATACACAGATACGTACATTACACTGTCCTGTGATGCCTGAGGGCATAGTCACAGTCGAAACACAATTAACATCATGACATAAACTTTTCACCTCAGTGTTCACCCAGCTGCTGTGTTGACATTTACCACAATGAACGCAAAAATGTAGCAGCATATGGAATAGTAATCGCAGTGGATGCCTCGCTCCTTCCAGAACACACAAGAGACCACATACTCAAGGGAGATAACGCCATCAAATCACACTGACACACACTATATTGCAAGTTCAACTTGTAATTATCCAATTTGCAAGCATCCCCAGCTGACACACTGTTAATACGGACATATTACACTAAACACAGAAAGTGATGGTATGTTTAATTATCAGTCCAGCAGTTTGAGGGAGCTGACAGTTACATTTGCATGTAGACCAAAGGGGTAGAGAATGAGCTTAAACATCCTCATAAGAACTCTGTGTATCAACTCTTGCTTTTAGAGGCATTATACCGCAGACTCTAAGGACTGCAGGAACAAAGGAACAGCCCTTGATTTACTGTAAAGCCAACAGTGTATTTCAATTGAAATTGGAACAGTCTCACTGGTGGTGTTAAAGCCAAGAAAATCCACACTGGGCTTCAACTGCAGTAAAGGCTAAAGTATGAAATTTTGGGTGATATGGAAAAAATCTTCCATAACGGTAAATGTTTTCAGTCATGCCCGCAGCGTGGCTCTAGGAATGGCAGTGTTCCTCCGTATGTTGGTCAGTCTGCTGATCCATCGCTTTGGTCCAGTCTGAGATATCTACTAACTCTATCATGGACTGACATTGACTGACATGTTCCCCGCAGGATGAATCAAAACAACTTTGATGATTTCTACAGTTTTTAATCCAGCCCCACTATTTGTCTAAAGGCTCAGCCTCAGCTGTCTAGTACTAAGCCGCAAGTAGTAACACTCTCTCCAAGATGGTAAATCTTTGTCATGACCCTTCCACTATTTATTATTTTGCTACCGAAGAAGGTGTCATAATTGCTGAGATTCTTCGGGAATAGCTTTAATGTCCTATCTATTAACCGAGGACAACAGGAGGAGAAGGATTTCTCCGAAAAACATTACAATTCAAAGTTGTTGTTTTTTTTCCCTTTAGAATCACAGCACTTGGGCCAACTTTTCACTGGAAGCTTGTAAACATGCCCTCAGGTCTGATTTGAATCCAAGTTGTGTTTCTGCTGCTGCTCAGATGATTCATTCCAGTAAATAGCTTTCTAAGACACATGCTCATCAATATGGGGCTACCCATAATACTTCACTGGAACTTTCGCAGTGTTTTCTTTCCCCAGGGAAATAGATTTCCTGTTCTTTTCTAGAAAATTATTAAAAAGAAAAGCATTGCATCCAAGCAGGTCAGAGTAGTTCATGGTGGAACTGACAGCTGCAAACTTCTTTTTGATACTTTCGGGTATCAGCTGAAAACTGCTCAGTAAGCTGGCTTTCATTTCTTGTGCGCCCTGGACTAAAGAGGAAATGCCATTTCATTAACAACTACGAGAAGTAAGAGCATGTTGCCCCAGTAATGCGATAATGTGACAAAGTGAGGGATTGCTCTAATGCTGTATCAAATTGTGGCTGCACAATCTGAGACATGAATGGAAACAACAGCAACAATATTCTTCCCTATTAGAAAAGGGGAGCTTCTGTCTGTGAGAAATCCACTAAATGTAAAATTCTCTAGAAGATGGCATTATGGCAGCTGTGAGCCATTTGTACCTTACAATAATACACAGACCCTGCACAACAGAAATCTACTGTGTACCTCTCTGTTTGGAGTCTATCTATCGGTTCATATTTTGTTTATTTATTTCTTGTCCTTTCCAGTAATGGCTTCAGGTGTCAATTATCTTAGTGATTCAAGTTTGCTAAGGCCTCTGGCCATGATTGAGTCATTCTCCTATTACTGTGGTTCATGTTGTTGTGGACTCTTCCATATAGTACCTGTTTTATTTCTTGATATAGAGTGAAGATTGAACCATTAATATTTAAGACTTTTTTCCCCCCTTTCACCACTGTGGAAGGATTATCTAGCCAGTCTGCTCACTTTGGGGTTTTGTAGGAATGAACATTCGTCATCTTTAAGTTTAAATCCATGGATACTGAGAAATTTGTTTAATAAGCTTGAGTATAACACAGCCCTTAAACAGAAATCCATAAGGATCCTATAAAACACTGAAATTTAAACAAATCTAACAGGGTCCCTATGAAAGTCAAATCCAGACTTAACAAAGCTATAGGGATCCTAAAAATACACTTACTCTCCTCTCTCCCTCCATACCATCCCACAGGGCTTACTTCAAGGAAAATTGGCTGACAGAATTGTGACATATGTCTGGTAAAGAGGAATATTTCCCCTTAGTCGTCTTCTGTTTGAATAAATCTGTTTAAAACCTCCGGTGCCATCAGACTTCCTCACTGCAATCCCCAGTCTTGTAGGACGATGGGTAATTCTTTCCACATACACCAACGTTTGTCTGCTTTCAGGCAGTTAGAATACGAAAGAAACTTTTACAAAATGATTCCCCACAGTATTTTTAATCATGTGTTGCACTTTGAAAGTTAAAGACTCATTTTACTTTTTAAGACTGACAAATCACTCCTTAGGAAAAATGAAAAATATATGCATATATTCATTGTATATATACATATATATATTCCCTCCCTGGCTCTTTTATTCTTTTACTTGAATTTTTGTCTTGAAAGGTCAAGCTGTTTGTTTTGCATATGGTATAAACCATGGGCATCACTTTGATTGTATCTGAAATTGTTGGCACTGACAGACAATAGCAGGATTCAGCATAATGTTACAATGCTGATCTGTGCTGTTCCCCCTGCAGTGCAGAACCATATCTTAGAACCCTCACTAACCTTTGCAATCCCCTGTGATGTGCAGAGTTATTGACCAGTGTTTGCTGCTATTAAAAGGTTGGCTTAGGATGTAAACAAACGTGTTTTTGTGAACTTCTCGTACGGTCATTCATGTTTTTCCACAGAGTAATAAGCTTATGTTTGCCATTCTCTTTTTCTCTCTTTTTTCACAACTAGTGCAGGTATGTGTACGGGAACTGTTCGTCACATTAATTTGTGCAATGTCCCCCTGCTAAGAAGGCGTTAAAAGGCAAACGTATTTAACCGCAGCGCCGTAATCTCTCCTGACAGATGTAGCTATAGGGCCTCATCTGAAAAATCATATGTTTGAGGTGCCATGAAATTATCAATGTCAGCTTGCAGCTGGGTTGTTCTTTAGGCAAAAGAGACACAGATTTAATGTGTGTGTGTTTTTTTTTTAACATACTCATTTTCTTTACTCTTAGGTTCCTTGCCCATTTTCTCAGTCATTTTCTTTCATGACACAGTAAATACTGAGTGATGTGTTTTCCAGAAATAACTGTTTTTTTAAGAGCAGTACCAGGCCTAGTAGGTACCTAACAATGGCACCACAGACCATTGCCACCATGGAGAATTTGCTGCCAAGCAGCTGCTGAGAAAGAATTTGCTCTCCAGTGCACTATATTTAAAAAGGAACCATCTCTGTCAACAAAACCCATTATGCTACATAGATGGATAAAGATTGAATTACATTCTAGTACACAGTGTTACCTTCTGGCCCCTCTATCACAAACATGAACTCCACAGCATGCGTTTCTTCAAAACTGGTGTCTAAGTCGCGTTATATTACAGGCTACATTACACTTACGCTGGCTAACTTTCTCCATCGTTTGCTACAGGTCACATGGTATAACGTATTTGCAGTATTTATCCCTTACATATTCCATAACGATTAAATGAATATATGCCTGTGTATTCTTTCTGCTGCAGGTCTGGAGTTTGCCTATTCTGCAGCCCCCAAGTCCATGCAGAGTGCCATCATGGGACTCTTCTTTTTCTTCTCTGGGATCGGCTCCTTCGTGGGCTCCGGGTTGTTGGCTATCGTCTCCCTCAAGGAGATTGGCTGGATGTCATCCCACAGAGACTTTGGTAAGAGACAGACTAGTTTACACACTCATCATATGGGATGCCAATGGTATACGCTCTCACCAAGAAGGAGAGAACATAACAAATTCAGTGTAATTGATATTTTTACACAAGCACAAGTTGTAATGTGAAAAGAGTCGCATTTAGTGATGAACCCAGATAGACTTATCACCTGAGTCTACTGTTCTTGCCAGCATGGTGGCATAGCTTCTTTCATCCCATCATTATGGTTTTTATGTCTGCATTTTTACTGGGTTGGTTCGCTCTTACCACTCATTTTTGCATAATTTCTTCCCCTTAGCATGCGTCTGTGAAATGTTAAAAGTTTTTAAAACCCACTGTAAACTACCTTAGCACCAAAGACACACACTTAGCAACTAGCTAGTAAACGTAGTGAAACATTTAGTAGATAAGGAGCCAGATATTTTCCTTTCAGTTAGAAACCTATCAGAGTTAAAAGGGGAGTGGATGTTAGTTTAGAATAAAAACACAACTATAAATGACTTAACGACAATTGTTACATGATTGTCGTGTGCAAATGCAGGCAGCGCTTAGCCGACGGATTTGCTGTGTTAACCAAAAATGTTATGCAACATCAGTGTTGTGTTGCTGCCAGACACTCTATGCTACTTCCATAATAGCGTTTCAATTTTTCAGTTCAATTCAATTTTATTTATATAGCGCAATTCACAACATGTCACCTCACAGCGCTTAACATACTAAGGTGAAGACCCTATAATTGCATCCTCTTCAATAAGAAGCATTGAATGTATATTAATTCAGTTATCAAGCGTCATATAGTGCTGATGTTGCACAGAAACAAGCAATTGATCTCACTGATGTGAGACTCCAGTGCTCTGTGTATTTCATTGATCCATAGCCATATGACGTGCATGCAAACTCATGCAGTTATCCGATAGTGATTTTGTCCTTGCTTGAACATATAAAGCGCTGCTGTTTTCTTCAAAACATTCTCATCATATAATCATTATCAAAATAGCACAGAGGTGATTGATCTTTCCTCATACAGTTTTCTTTGGGCTGTCCATAATCCACATGAATTACAGTGTGCCAAGCCTGCTGTTAGATGCCCAGTGCAAGAAGACGGCACTATTGACTTTCCGCATTGACTGTATGTATGAATTCGCAAAAGAATTGTTGGAATCGATTCAGAAAGCAGAAATTTATTTTCCAGCCACATACCTTAAGAGTGTTCATAGCTTGTGCTGATTTAAAATCCACTTAAAGACTTTGTAAATTAGACACATAAAGGGGGGGCAACACCCTGTGCAGTTCTCTTGTTTTAAAAGTGTTTCACATTATAAATAGGCATGTCAGACTAACGACAAAAGGTTTGTGTAAATCTGTCCAAGTGGCAGAATGAATAGCGTGGCGGTGGCAGCAGATGGATGGGCTCCCTAGTGAGTGGAGGCTCCCACCCCAGATGCACTTTTCCCTGAGCATGCGGTAAATAAGCCAACACTGTAAATTGTTTATCCGCAAACACCTAACAGCTCATTAATACAGTGTGCCGACAGGTAGGGAGGTACTTTTGATGATGTTAGCACTGGAAGATGCTTGGCATGCTTCATAAATCCATCCTTTGCTCACTCTCGCGTCACTTAAGGGGAAGTTAAACTAAAGCCGGATTGCCTGTAAGACCCCTTTTTGCTTTCCAAAACAAGTCGTTTAAAAGGTGAGCTGCAAAAATAGAACAAAACATCCTCCTGGCCACTGATAAAAGACACACGGCACAAAGCTTAGGCATTAAGTAGAGTCAGGAATCATGCAGTTTGTTTTTGTGGCTGTTTTTCACAGTTTGTTGGATGTTAGCTTCTTCCACATCTCATGGCTCTCTAGGTGGAATGGATTCAGCTTATTTCCATGGCTTTGGGCAAAATAGTGTGCGGTAAACAGCATCTTGGGTGAGCTGTGCTGAGTTGTACCGAGCTGTGCGGGCCTGTAGACAGACAGCAACATTAATCACAGGCTGGGGGTCTGATTACATAGCCCTGCTCCTCTTAAGTAAAGCTGTCCCTGGAGCGTTACACGGAGACGGCACTGCTAGTTTGGCATCACACTGGTGGATGCTCAGCTCTCCTGTCGTGCAGTAGCTCCATCATCGCCCTTCTCTGCACAAACTAATGTTAGTCAGCAGAGGTAAAGTGTCACACAAAGAATCCATCAAGTTTGTCCTGTATTTTGGTATTTTCAGAAAAAAAACTGTCCAGTTCAAGCCTCAACTCAAACTCTCAGTTTGGTGAAAACAGCAGGGAAGATAATGGGTGTGCCCACGCCTCATAACCCTGTGAAACATTTTTGGACTTTCTACCGGTCAGAGAATTTTTATGGTCTTCATGTGCTGAAGTTTCATTTATGTAAGCAAAACGATTAGGAGCATTAGTTTGTCCGACTCTCAGTTAAATGTATTAGGAAGCAACTAAGAAGGTCAACGCAGTGAGTAAAATAACTGTTCTACAGCTCCTGCTGTTGTGTTCTTGGTTACAGACAGTGTATGTTGTAGCATTTCAACAACATTAGTGTGTCTTTTCGCTAAAGGTCTGTTTTTTTTTATTCAGCAGACTTCAAGCAAAGTTTAACCCTGAGCCTTAAGTGATACCTAGGTGATACTAATGATCCTATTCAGGAGGAAACTGTTCTGTTTCAAGCAGCACTTATGATTCCTTGTAAGATGTGGGTATAGCTTTTCGACTCGATCATTTTGTGTCATCAAAAATGTTTTTAGTAAATACAGGCAAGCCTGCATTTATGTGAAAACAATCTCAGCCACGTCAGGTACACTCTGCATGTAATGTGCGTCATACACACCGCAAATTGAGAACAAAAACGGGACACTTCTTCAAAGTGGTCTCATTGAAGCTTGAAGCTCCTGTTCTTGGGAATGGATGACCATATTTGCAACTGAAAGTTGATAGAAACGTTCTGTAGAGCGAGAATGTTTATGCAGTATCTCTTCTCAAACTTTGAGCATAGTGAACTCAAGTGTTGAAATTATTGATCCCTCAAATCCCACTGCACATAGTTTGCCACTATAGTTACGTTTAGTTGAGTAGTCATCCATCACATGCTTTTATTGGTGTTTGTATTGGCCTGGTCTAACCTAACTGCGTCCTCTCCCGTCAAAGACTTTATACACATTCTGTGGTCAAAAACAGCACAGAGCTGTTTTAATTTCATAAGCCAATTTAATCAAAGAACAACCTTTATGCTCTTCACAAAATTATCCTTTACACAGCAGGAGGTTTTGTGTCTGTAGAAAATGGCTTTTGCATGTAATTTGCTCCCCTTTTGTGTTCGTGTCATTCACTCAAAGTAAATGGTTTTTGTGAGCCTCGGTGGTCACATGACAGGAAATGGCCTTTTCTTTGACCAGTGTTTAAGCCCTGACTGATGTGAGATCAGTTGTCTGAGACATATTCAGATTTTCACAGAGAGCTGATATTCTCACATCCTGTTGAGTCGAAATGCCAGAGTTTTAATGAAAGCCTTTAATGTCAGATACTGCAAATTTAACATGAACTTTCACTGTCTGAAAGGGATTTATGAAAATGTAATTTTTGGTCTGTGTATTGGACATGTCAAAGGTAACAGAGGGCACATAAATATACTTAGCATGTCGTGGCCATTTACAAAACTCCAGCATCAATCACAAAGTTTTTCAAGCTCGAGGAGCACTGCAGAAAATAACTATATTTATAGCTGAAACAAACATGCATTGATTCGCTCTCTGATTTCATTCTACGGCAGAGGATGGCATTGAAGTCACTGAAGCATCAGCATGTTGGGTCATTGCACTGAAGGGATGGATCAATTGATCCATTTTCAAACATTAAATTGATATTGACCCGTTTCTTGTGGACTCACATGGTCTGTACAAAACCATTTGCAGGTAAATTGTCCCACAAATTTATGTCACTCAGATATTAGATGGCTGACCCCTTCTGTTGGGGAACTCAGTGTAATCACAACCTTGTAATTTACTAACTCAGAGCTGTCAGACAACCTCTGAGCCCATGTGGAAACCTAAGAGACAACAATACTTGCTCCACTACACTTCATTCTATTCGGTTTGCACTGTCCTTTTGCTTGCTGTGATTTGCCTTTAAAATAAATGTCAAATATTTATGGGCTTCATTAAGTTTTTTTTTTTTTACAGTATGTCCTTGTTTGGTCTTTTGCTGCTGTAATTAGCCTTCCATTTTTTTTGAAAGTGCTTGGCAGCCAAGTGGGCCCTGGGGGGCGGAGACTGAAAGAAGGAGGTTGTGCGTAATTTAATGTATAATGAAATTGGAGCAAGAACCCTTACAAAACTGAAACCTTGCACAATTTTCAGGACTGCTCCAAAAATTGGATGTTGCTTTTTTCCAGTCGCCTTTTTCATTCCTTGGGTGCTAGTTAAGAGAGAAGTTTTGAAAACTAGAACAAAGGTTGCGATCCAGTCATCTGTCAGAATAATCTTAAGGCTCCAGCAACATTTTTTCCTTCAAAGGAGTGAAAATGTCCTAAAATCAGGATTTGTTACAGGCCTGGTGCTGACATTTAGCATCTGCCCAAAAGCAAATTCAGAGAGTGTTGAAGATGTTGCTGTAAATCCTGCATTTATTTTCACGTTGTCCATATTTCACTTTTGCTGAACGCTCTAGATTTTGCTGGCAAGTATACATGTGTTTTCCCTCTACATAATTTGTATGCTGTAATACACGCTTTTTGTAAGTGATACTGCTTTGTTAATTAAGACTGCAGCAGCAGACTGTTGGTTTACTATCTGTTAAAGCGAGTTATCGATTGAAAACACAAGTGCCCTCACTGCAAATGCACTTCCCTTTTCCTCCCGTGCTCTGCTGTCAAGCACATTGTTTTGTACCTCATGAATTATTCAACGCTGCTTCGGTTTTGATCTGTTTCTCACAATTTAAACCTTTGACCAGATTAAGATGACAACAAAATAAGTTGAAACGGCAGCAAGGGTCAAAGTGTTTGTCAGGTTTTCCACTTGCCACTCATTTCGTTAATGCTTTGGCAGAACTTCAGAGTCATCAGCCTGCTCTCTGTTCTTCGATCAAAGTTTTCATGCTGAAGAGATTGCCCAGTGCACAGAGCATTGACAAAGAATCACTCCTGAGTGATGCATCCTATCATTGCAGTGTTTCTTTTTTTTTTTCTTCTTCTAATTATCCACAAGAACATGCGCACAACGGAGGAAATGGGGGGAAACATCATCTATATGCACAGTACGCATGGTGACAATATTGAGTCTGTTCTGATCTACTGATTGTAAGTCATCATGCAAAGCACCAGAATCACCTGGTTGAAAGGAACGGATCTTTGTTTGGTTGCAGAGGATGGCCTGTTAAATCATGGACAAGAACATGAAGCTGAGGATAATTTGTGCCACAGCTGCCTGTAACGTAGCGAGGTTCATGTTAAACTGGGCTTCAATGTAAAACAACACCATGTTTTATTCACAACTATTGACATTGTGCAGTCTAATTTAATAACGCGCATACATTGTGTTTTGACATACGGGCAGATTTATGTGCATAGTTGCAGAGAATCGTCAGTATTCCCAGTATTTTGTCTTCCTGTCCTCTATCGTTCCAACACTTTGGTCCAGACTGAAATGTCCAAACAATCATTGGATGGCTGGCCATGAAATTTGGAACAGACATTCATCACCTTTGGAAATTGAAACTTAATGCATCCTAATTTTCAAATAACTTTCTAAGAAGTTTTAAGAACTATTTAATTTAATATTATTTATGTGGAAAAGACAGATGAAGCTCAATTTGCTCTTTTTCATTAAATTAATTCAAATCAGCTAAAGCAGTCAGCTAAACATGCGGAAATATGTCTACAGGAATTGAATTTTCAATTATAGATAAATAAAAACTAAATATTTATTTAGGTTTAAAGTAATATTTCGGCTGTAATTCGTACAAAATTGCAAAATTCTTTCCAAGAGAGCGTGTTAGAAATTTTAGGAAATTACCGACTTTATGATATCATGGTTATAGACTCTTAGGGCCCCACTCATGTGGCAGGTCAATTACCAATGTAGCCACTGCTCTGACTAGTAATTTCCTGATGTGGAAATGCCCGCACTTGTCTTTGTGGTATTTTGTTGCCAAGGAACACAGTGCACGAGAAAGAGGAAGGGTGTAACCAGGTGGGAGGTTCTCTCAGATGAGGCAGCACGAGGCGAATTGCGGACATTTTTATAGAAAACAAGTTCTCACTTTTGCCCTGAGAACAGACTTCTCAGAAGCACGTCTGTTTTAGGCACTATCTAACAGTTTTACCAACAGCACAAAATAATTGAAGCAAATGTGCAGCAATAACAGAATGAGGCTTGCATAAACAGCAATTTAAAGACACATGCACAACATTAAAACACTTACTATCATTAAAGCAGGAGCAATGCACTGATCTATAAATCAATATGAATGATTCTCGCTATATTGGTTGTCCACAGCTGCTTCATACTGTGTGAAAGGTTTGTCCTTCAGTTCATTAAATCCCTGCAGACATCTGAAGGGAGCAGGACCGATATGCTGATAAATCTGCAGGCTCAAGTTTGACAAGTCCTGCTCCAAAGTGCAGTGTCATTATGCAACATCTGCTGTGTTTACCGCGATTAAATTGCCTCCAGATTTACACCAGACGACTTACAAAATATTCCCACATAGGGGGTCCTTTGTGTTTTGTTTGCCATTGTCAGTGCATTTCTTCTTCTTTGTAAGCGCATCATTCTAAGATTGTGCAAAGGACAGATTCACTGAAGCAATAATTCTCTCTATAAGGCTTTGTTTATAGCATAGGCAACTGCTCAAGGTCTGGTTTTGTTAGTGTAAATGACGCTGTGCATCTTCCCTCCAACTAAAGCAAATGCAAAAACACTATGTACCCACACTGAACGGGTTCCAAATGAGTGGGTAAAATAGCGAGAAAAGTAAGAAAGTGAAATAAATGCAAACATCTTGGACCTTAAGCACCATCTTGACCCAAGGGGTGTTAACTTTAAACTGACAGGTGTAATTAGCCTGCACTCGAGTACACACAACTTGAATTGCCCCCATATCTAATTAAAATCAAGCCCGCTTCTCTTTCTGTGGCTCTTTATTCAGTGTGACAGCTTCTCATGGAGAAGCTAATAGGAGCTTTCAGAGGAAGACAGCGGATTGCTCTGGGGTTTCACATTTACTCATTTGCAGATAATGTAGGATGTAAGCTATAGGTAGCTCTGTCCACTCTTAAGACTGTGCCTCACATGCAGATCGTTGCATAAACCAAAGGCACGTTCTTGAATATGCTCTAGCAGAAAGAAAAGAAAAAAAAAAGATCCACTCGTCTTTGCAGAAGGCAACCAGTTCACCCTGAAATGCCTCCTTGTCCAGCAAGTAGTAAAGAGCTTCATCTCATGCTGCTGGCTACAAAGTCAATTGGTCTGCCTCACATGGTCAAGAGGACAAAAGCTTCTCTAATGCTAATCCAATTGTCTCCATACTTGAACAGGGAAGACAATTGTTTTGTCGTCAGCTTTGCCCTTCATGTAAACCCCTAGCAAGACGAAAACAGGATTTGTTTTGAGCTTTCCTCTTGAGCTTTGTTGCTGAATGAGGACAGGCACTTCAGTCAACAGTGCAGCAAAATGTTAAGACAGTTAGATTTTAAAGGCTGCTGGCTGCATTCTGCAAACCCAGTAGGAAAAGATGGGTAGGGAACGTTGACAAATAGCATTACCCCCTTTTTTCTTTTAATGCTGGAAACTTACTGTATAGATTGTTGTTCTGTCAGCCTGAGCTTGTGTTCCCCCACCCTGCCGTAAACAAGTCATCTTTCAGTCCCACAAATCACACTGGAAGCTTCAGTTTATTTTTTCCCTCCTTTTTATCACATCCAAATCCCACGAGGAAACAAACCGTTCTTTAATACCAATGAAAGACTCGCTGGCTCGCATCACAGGCCTCGCGTTGCTCTGTTATTTCTCATTCTTCAGTCCCACATCATCAAGACTGCCTTCCTGTATCAACGCTGAAGTGTGGGGTCAATCGTCTTCACTTTCAGAAGGCTTCGCAGCGGTGAAATGAGAAGTAACAAGCCCTCCCGCCCGCCCCCCTGCTGAATTCTAATTCCTGACAGAATCTTGTATTCCTGCCATGCTCACTTCAAGCCTGCCTTTTATGTCTCGCAAATACACAGCAACCTGCCACAGTTTGCAAGCTCGTGGCCATTTACCTTTGCCTTCGGTATTCTTTTAACACGGAGTAGTACTTTGTGATAAAAGAACCCTCCCGCTGTCCCCCCTCTGAATATGTTGTGACGCTTTTGTTCCCCCCAAAATTTCCATATTTGTCATTTTTTGCCGCACAGCTCAAAGTTTGTAAGCGGTATTTGAATGCCGGGCTTATTGTTTGGAGTCTCGGTTAAAGTGTTACATTAAAATCCTGTCCTTGTTTCCTCTCTCGTAGGTAATATCAATGACTGCTCTCTGCACTACTACTTCTTCCTCCTGGCGGGGATCCAGGGCCTCACCTTGCTCGTCTTCCTTATTGTGTCCGTCAAGTATGACAAGCAGAGGGGCAGGGCAGGAAGTCAGCAGCAGAGACACACCTCCTCTTGACCCCAGCAGATGTCCAAGAACCCCCTCACCACCACCACCACCACCATCATACCTGCCTTTTCCTGTCACATCGCTCAGTGCCCAAAGATCCTGTCAAATAGGTACTTGCTAATCCTCCTCCAGCAGTTCGGGTTGCCTATTTCATGACGATACACATATTTATGCTTGTTTTAGGTTTTTAAGTGGGGATTCTTTACCCTGTCTGATAACAATAACGGTTTTACATCACACACAGGCTCCACTGACAGTATAGAGATTAATGCAGGAGCCGTGTTTGAATTATTTCCACTGTACTCCTTCACTCCTGTGTGTTTACTCCTGTTGCCTTTCTTTGATCATTTGCACTTAACTTGAGGAGTGGTGCCATAAAATGTGACATCTTGATGTTTTCTAATCATGAAGAATGCTCTGTTGTTTTTATAGCTAGATTTTTACTTTCTAACAAAGACTTATTTTTGGACTTGCTGTTTTGCTAATCATTTTACTGATCCCAGTAGGATACATCTGTATTTACAACTACAAAAAAAAATCTTAGTTTATCCATAACTTTAAATTAGGGTATTTGTGTATTAAAAGTACTTGAATGTCAGCATTATTACATTTAGCCCTGTTGGGTTTCGGGAGAGCTTCAATGCAGTAACATAGTGGTGATGACACTGAATGGGGAGTTAGTTTAATGCACAGGGTAGTTTAATGTTGCAGATTCTCACAAATTATTGCTGTTAAAGTCAACAAAGGAGGGCTTTTGTTTGAGGAGATTCCAAATAAACACACATTTTTCTGTTTAATTATGTACTTAATTCTAGTATTCAAATTTCCCTCCCTCAATGTTAGATTAAAATCTAATATTAAGAGAAGAAAAGCTGCCACATTTGATTCCGCTGCGTGTGATTACAAATTGTAAAGCCACATAAATCCGCCCTGTAAATCCTCAGTCAGCATCATACATGAATAATGACAACTTGTCACGTTAAAAATAACTCCATGACTCCTGCGAAGCTTCGTAGCAGTTTTTTACATTTCTGGTGAAGCTGTAAACTCATATGTATGCATGACAAACTAATAAGAAACTAACCATAAGCTTAACAGGCAACCTTGTGTGTGCCTCTTAAAAAATAAACAAAAACAAACTATGGCATTAACGTTTGGATCATGAAAAAGCTGTCAGTAAAAAAAGCTGGAGTATTTTTATAAAAATAAAAATGTGACACATTTACGTTGACATCTTCTCCGTGTTTAGAATTTCATCGCAGAAAAAACACAGTATTTGCTCTGAGAAACTTTTTGCAGTGTTATCATGGCTTTGCAGCTTTGCCAGAAAATCTTTAAAAACAAGCTTCTGTTTTGTTGTATTTATAAGACTGTGATGCATTTGTTTTAGCTTTAAGAATAAGTGTGTGTGTGAGTGTGTGCGTGCGTGTATGTGTGTGTTTCTTCAATCCTCAGATTAAGTAGAAAACAAGCTACTGAATTTTATTAAAACAAGAAAACTCTCAGGGCTCTAGGAATAGTATTAGATGACAAAACTCCAGGAAATTGAAATCTGCCTTTGGGAGCTCAGAATAGTGTTTATTGTTTGGTGTAAATAAAGTTACATTTGTAACAGCACATAAAAATACAGATTCTATCTCACTGATGGCATAAAATGCCTGTTAGAGTGATTTTAGTTTGTGTTTATTTGATTGGAGAATGATAAATGCGTGCTCCTTGTTTTATTGCATATTTTATGTATACTTGCTTTGTCATCTCAGCCATTTTCGAAAAGATTTATTACATTTATATTGGAATTATATTCTGTGTTCAAAATGGTACATGACTGGAATATTGTTTTGTGGATATATTTGTGACTATTAAAGTATATTACATTGAGGATTTGCTTCGTCATTGTCAGCCTAAACAAGGCACAAGTCGCAAAGCTGGTTAAGACGTCTGTCACATCACTTCACCTGTCACTTAACACAGTGACTGCAAAAAGGCTCTTTTTCTTTTCTTCTTGCCCTTTCTTATGCATATTTATATTTTTTTTTCCTTGTAAGACAGCACAGCTTTTTTCAGTGGAGTAATAATTGAAAAATGAGTAGTCTGCCTTCATTTGTAAACATCTAGTGTATGTCTGTAGGTTTATTCCCAAGTCCATACATGTTCCTGATGAATACAAATATCTGAAGCATCAAAATACAATAATATCTGGAATGAGAACATGTCCCAGTCCTGCGTTTTATATTCAAGCGATGTGGCGACATTCTTGTTAACATGTGAATCACGGATTGTGCCTTTAACGCCTGCTTTCATAATTAGGGTTATGGTTTGTTGGTCCTAAGGCAAACTCAAAGTAGAGTGCCTAAATTATTTATATTACAAAAAAAAAAAAACACCCTGTGGCAAGCTGTAGGGAAAAAGGTTACTAACACAGAGGTGTAAACCCTCATTTTTCTTTCCCATTGGGGAGGGAGGCATATTTCCTCTTAGTTTCATCAGACACAGATTGAAATCAACATCATCACAGATCATTTTTTAATGCTAAGGCCTCCCAGCCATGAGGCTCGGAGAGGGCCATTTCCTGTTTAATTTGGTCAGAGAGCTCACATAGCCGTGACTGAGCAGACAGCTTGATGTTTGAAACCAACACAATGCCTCCAGGTCATAATTCTAGTGTGGCGGCTTGTTTCTCATGTTGAGAGGATTTTCTGACACATCCAAGCGGCTATGGAGGCAAGAATTGCAAGGCAATAACACAGAGATATATAGTTGTGGTAGTGGCCTCCTCATATTTTAAAGTGATTTATGGGCCAGAATTTAAGCAAACAACTGCTCTGTGTACAACACCTTGTGTGTATATTTAAACCTGCTGTTGTTTTTTTTTTTCTTTCTTCCGTGCGCCAAGTCAATGCTGACCCTCTGAAGTTTACAGAATTTGTATTCATTTATTTTTATGTATTTTTCAATAATAATCCACTTTTTAAGCATGCTTGTAGCCTACGTTACTGTTGGATAAGGCTTGACATGAGTGGACAGATCGACATGAAACTTTGTGCAAACGTCCTTAATACTTTTGTGACCCGGTGACATTTCCTTTATCATCGCGAGCAGGTTAAAGTTTTTCTTCATCCCGTGAAACACCGCTACATCTGTCGGATGGATTAAGACAGTGGGGCAGAACTCAGTACTTTCATCCTGAGTTCCCCGAGGATGTATCTGATGACTCCGATGATCCCTTGAATTCTCCAGCATCACTGAGAGGTGGAAATTCATGGTTTTAGGTGAAATGTCTGGACAGCTATCTTTTGGATTGCCATGAAATTTTGTTTCCATATTTATGTCCTTCCCCCCAGGATGAATATGATCATATTGGTGATTCATGTAGCACTACCACTGGGTCACATTTACAATTTGGCCAATAATTTACTTGATGTCCACATACCTGGAACATGACGACTAATATACCAGATAAAAATCAACATGTTGTCATTATTGTGAGCAGGCTGTCGTTTGCATTTGGCCGACTGCAAAGTTCAGCTCCAGAGCTGCCAGCATGGCTGTTGACTTATCTTATGCCAATACTGCACATTCAAATATCTACATTTACAATATAAAACATTTCTGCAGTAACCTGTCTAAAAACAACGAGCCCAATGCTGTTTATTTTGTGGACTTGTTTACTTACTTACACAAATGACATCTTTTATTATTAGGCTCAGGCAGGTCTGCACAGAATCAGTCAACAATGATCAACAAACAATGATGGAATGATGCACATGGCTCTCACCTGACCTAACAGCTGATTGGTTTAGATGTTGACTCAACAATTTGATGTGATAGAAACCTTCGTTTTATTATTTTTTTTATTGGAGAGATTTTGATGTTAGCAGTCCTTTTTTTTTAACGTTTACCCATATCGAGTACATGTTATATGGTTGAGGGGACGTTTATCAGTCTCGTCCATCCATCCATTATCAATACACCTCTTAATCCTCACGGGGGGGCTGGAGTCTATCCCAGCTGACTTAGGGCAAAGGCAGGGGACACCCTGGACAGGTCACCAGTCTATCACAGGGCTACACTTAGAGACAGACAACCAA